AACCAATATTATTGAATGCAATGAATAGGTATACTGATATCGAAATGATGGAGAAACATTTATTACATTTTGAAGAACCATATAAAAATTGGGAACGAGAAATTATAGAAGACGAATAATATGCATCTGCAATCCATGAGCTATAAGTGTCTGATGGAGCATGCACTACTGATAAAGAGAGCTTAAGTCATGATTATAAATTGCAAGCAGTCGAGTATTGGTAAAGTAGTAAGAAAAAGAATTTAAGTATCGATAGTGGTAAGCAAAAATTTAAAACAGTACAGTCTACGCGACAATTGAATATACATTGAACAATTTCAAAACTGCAATCGATGCTGAGATGATAGTCCATGATTCCGATTTGAAAAAATGGGCATTATTAGCTAAAAAAAAATTTACAATTCGATGATCTTCGTTTTCAAGCATCTCCAACGTGGATACTATCATTCAAAAGGGCTCATCGTATTGTTTCTCATAAAATTAAACAATTCATGTCATCAAAAACGATTGAAGATTGTAAAATATTTAAGAACACTTCAAAATCTCGTTGAAGGATGTATTCTTTCCGAATGTTGAAAAAAAAAGTTTCCTTTTGATGGATTCGTGGACTGGACATTGTTCTAAAGCTGTCACGTCTGCCAAACCACCTGATAATGAAATTGAGATAATAATTATTCCTAAAGGGGCTACTCGACAAATTCAACCATTAGATGTTTTTGAATTTAGAATATGAAAAAACTTTTTAGGACATTTTTCAGACAGTGGCCTATAACGAGGAAATAATCTAAATCTACATTCGAGAAATAATATTATTAAATTACAATCACCGTTGTGCATGGTGTAAAAAATCATTGTGTCTTGAACATTTTTACAATGATTATCATATATGTAATACGAACAATAAATAAATAATTTATCTTCTTCATTTTGATACGAATCTAAGGAAAAAGAGATTATTTTAAGAGTTGCATAAACACTTATCTCGTAATTTTTTATGCTTTTTCGATTAAAATTGGTCTCATTAAAAAATATATTATAGTTTTTGAGTTATAGATTTCTTGTTAATGAAAAAAAATGTATATCTGAAAGTTTCATAAATATGTAAATAAAGGTATTTTTCATCCTCTTTTATGTCGTTTTCAATTTACAAGGTCATTGCGTCAACTTTGCGGGTGATTTTCACCTTTTCGAAACGTTTCTCTGCCGAAAAAAATACGTGGTTCATCATTTTCGTCGTAAATTATTATATAGAAACCATAGCTAAATCGACGGTGATAGCTCGTGAGGTTCCTTGTCAGTAATATTATTAATCATTTTCAAAATAATCAAGTATGATCGATAAAAATGTCATTTTTATAGCTAATTGTTAAATTACGTATTAAGCAAATGAATACCAATGAAAACTATACAATATATAATAGTTTTAATACGGTATACGGATAATTATTATTTTTCATCGTTTTCCAGCATCAATTAATAATCAAATAATTAAAAATTGTTAATGATAAGATAATGCAATTAATTACAGTTTAATATTGCTAATAATAATCTCTATTCGAGTATAGTCATTTATTTACATGAAGTAGGATACAGAACATTATGAACTATAAGATTTTACTAACAAGAAGATCAATTAGATATTGTTGAAAATCATCGTATTTTTTCAGTGGACGTCGTACGTGTGTTCGGAATTAGTTTTCTGCTTGATTATGTCGAGAACAAAAAATGATATCAACGTAGGAACAATTTCATTCGACGCGTAATTACGTAACTTAGAACTGAGTAGGTTTTAGACCAGTTCAACCATTTTTGTTGAAGAATCAAAAAACTGAAGAAAATAGTAAACCCGAGTCGCAAAATTTCGTCTATTTCATATCGAAAATTGATGATTTCACTCATTTTACTCCGAAATTAGTCGAATTTTTTTCTTGATAGTGCATCTACTTTATGTTTCTCCCTTAAGCTTTCGTTCATCTGATTTTGTCCTCATCTCTATCTGTTTTTCTCCACTTGTTTTAATTTGGTCTTATGATCTCCTTTTTATCATATATATAATCGAATGTTCAACTCAAGATTGAAATTAAACAACTATATTCGTGAAGATTAAATAGCGTAGAGTTAACGTGTTAAACTTAAGATTCTGAGGATCGCAAGTTCAAATCCGGATAAAAAAAAATGCTTTGTGTCACTTTTCTCAATATTCTTCTCATGAGCTCATTGGTGTGGTCTTTCTGATAAGTGTTAGTAGAAGGAATAGCACCATTATAAGAGAATTGTGAGTTGGAATAATATAAACCTTGAGAATAACCGTACAATGAAACAATAAGCGAATAACGATAGTAATTTTTATGATAATATCGTTACCAGTATTGACTACAGCTACTTTTCATTATATTTTATTTTTTAAAATATTTTTTTAATTTTTCATGAAATTCATGTACATTACAATTTATTAATTTTACATTTATTTATCACGTACAATTGGTGCACATAATAAATAAATATACTCATTATAGACTTATTTAACCTTAATTTGTCAGTTCGAAGTACAAAAACAGACTTTGATATTCAATGATATTAGGAATAAAACAGAAGTTTTTTAAGGAAAAATTCAGTCTTGATTAAAGAGTCATAGAACAGGTGAAAATTTTCGACTCGGGAACTGGCTAAATTTTTTTTTTTTTTCGTTGGGAAGTTAGTAGTGTGAACCTTTCTGGTCACTCCTAGAGAGCACTGATATTTTAGTAATGTATTCAGTATGATACTGAGTTCCTTCTTATACAACTCGGTACAATCAGTGTAAGGTAAGGTTCGATTCCGTTTTAACAGGTTCAAATAAGTTTTATATCTTCGCTTCGGAAATGCATCATTCAGGAAAAGGGGAGTAGAATCTTCCCTCGATTTTACGAAATTTTCAGTTACAGCTATGGTTTTATAAAAAATAATTACTCAACAAGTAGATAAGTATACACATCTCCTCAAATGATACGTTGTAACTTATATACATCCGCGAACAATACATTTTATATTAAATAAAGCAGTAGAAAAATAATTCATAAATACTCAGAGAAATATAAAGTTGTCAAATAAGACATTAACACAGAATTGTGAATCCAACTATGGAACTCATTTATTATTTTTTAGAGTGTAAGCAGTCTTTATACGTTAACACGATAATAAAAAAGGAGGGTTCGTTCTGTGTTGTCGAAAACGAATTTTTTAACTTGAGTTCAATCTTTAAATTGTTCAAAAATCACATACTTTTGTGATTTGTAATGAAAATTATGGCGAAAAATTAAAAAAAAATTGATGACTAATCCATTAAGAAAATTAATACTTACTGTTGAGGGTTATTATCGTTTACAAAAAACAATTCATCTCATGGAAGATCAGAAGGAAATCTCTAATCGTCTTTTACCAATTTTAGTTTAATCAATTAATACTCAAATTTATGATAGAGAATCTTTTTTTTTAAAAAAAATCTCATAAAATTATTATGTTGATTACTTCAGTTTACAAAAATTATTTTATTTATCCATTGATAGTAATAACAAGTATACTTGGAGTGAATCAAATATTACTTTATGTCTCTAACGATTTTTTAAACTAATAATTCGATAATGATGTTGTTCAATTTCTTTTCTAATCATACTACACGGAGAAAAAAATGAAAAAAATTCCAATAAAAATACCGTGCTCAGCACAACAATCCACGCGCAAACTGTCACTTCCCTAAACAATTAGACAACTTCAAAGTAAAAAATTAGTAATCCTTTTAAAATTTTATTTATAGATTCAATATTATTAAGAAGAGAAAAGTAAATAATTCTTATGCAGCACGGTTTAATATTCGATAAATATTAATTTTTATGCAAAACTTTAACAAAAATAGTAAGTGACTAGAAAAAAATGAGAATCTGATTATTCATTTCTTATGATCGGGGTAGGAAAATTCGGGTGCTTCTCTATAATTTTTTCTATTATCGAGAGAGTTTCGTGCTGGGTCTGGGAATCCTTTCGAATTACGGTCCAACACAATCTTTCTTTGTAGTAAGACCGTTCACCAATCACCCACATAAGCCGTAAAAGTACATTAAGACGTTTACGCGTTGCATACTCACTCAAATAAGTTAAAACTTGGTTTGTACGCATGCGTACATCTTACGGCTTTTGTTTGTGATGTGTGAACACCCTCATGTGCTATAGTTACTTTTCCATATAGTAAACAAAGATGAATTAATATATTTTTCCTGGTACGATTCAATATTGGCGGCAACACGTTCTATTAACGAATTATGATAAGTTCTGCAACCGGCTGTGACGCGTGGACTCAGGGTAAGCGTCAGCTGACACAGACGGGTCGCGGGTTCGAGTCCGCCGAACAAAAAAGTTCATTATATGATTTTTCTCGGGCCAACCGGAGCGCGAAGATCAGATCTCTTCGGGGAGCCGGGGTGTTGTATCGTACGACACAGGTTTTCTGCGTAAGATCCCGACGTAGGGGATAGGGGGGTGGGCCGTATTGTTAAAGTGCGGCCGTATTTATTCACCTGAATTCATTAGTAAGGAAAGTTAATTATAATGACCTATTATTTATATTTGTTTAATAACCACAAAATATTATTCACTAAACTTAAATAAAATTGTTGTCGGTTTTAGTTATCATCAGCTAACGTTACTAAATTTCAGGGCTGTGGAACACCTACATTTTCTGGTGCTGCCAAAGTAATTTCAAAAAACCTGGAATGATACATTTTCTTATGTAACTATACATTTTTGTATGTGATCATTTACTTTTTACTTTCAGTAAGTTTGTAAACTCACATGTTGACAGCTACGTAATTTTTCGTCATGTGATTTTAAATCACAATTAGATCGGAATTTTTTCCGTTGTAGAGCAGTATTATAACCACACTCATGCTTACATCTATTATTTTTAACACTATAAGCATAGTAGAACATGTTAAAAGAAAAATATTCACTAGTAACATTTTACTTACTCTTTCCATATCCACAAAGTCTACATCAAGTTTAGTTCCTTCAGCACCTCCCATTTTTTCCGTCATGTACTGAAAAAAATACAAATAAATATGTATATGTAGATAAATCTACGTATACGAATTTCTTGCAATATAATTTTATTTTCAATAAATTATATTACTATGTCGCTTAGTTTTTGATAGTTAATGCATGTTATATATTCAGTTGTAGTGAAGAGTAGTTATGATTTTTTACAAAATAATGGAAACGAAAATTCAAATATTTGTTTATTTTTTTCACATTGTTTCTATATAAGAACAATGGAAATATAAAACTCTTCTTGATTTGAATTCTTTCAAGTCAATAAATTTTCCAATTATCTTAAATAATAAAAAAGATTGTTTAAATTGTTTTCGTACCTGATTTGCTTTATTAATTTGTTTCTTAAGACCTGCGAACGCCATGGTTTTTTTCCACCGAGTAATCCAATAATTTTTCAGTAGGCGTTTTTAGATAATATCTGAAAAAGACAAAAAATTGATTAGTAATCAAGAATATAAATATAAAGTATATTGAATGATTATATAATATATTTTTAACCGTTAAACAAATAAACGAGAGCCCGAATTTCTTGTGATCAACACTTCTGTAGAACGATAATGATTCTGTATAATCAACAAACTTCTATAAAAGTTATTGATGAATATATTGGTGAAAATATATACAAACAATTCAGAAAGGATGAGTTCAACAATATACTTATAACTTATCTATCGTTTGTTACTATAATAAAAGCACAGAAAATACTGTAACGTTATTCTTCTAAAATAGTGGTTTCAAACGTAACAATCGATAATTGTGCTTCTGCTTTCTACGTTCTCCTTCTGTAACTACGTGACTGCGCGCGAAAAACCCTCAACTGCTCATACACTTCGAGTGCAGGCTGATCGATAATATAGAAATATATATATGTAGGAATATATAGACGTACATATTTATATAAATGTGTGTGTATAGTAATCGACAGGGGATTAAATTTTGTATCGATTAAGATACGATAATTTTTTTAATTTTCCTTGTCCAGAATTCACTGTAACACCATTCATTTTCTTTCTGACAAAGACTGACTACAAATGTTAATTTTACTGACAATGTTAGTTATTTTTCAAAAAAATTTCGGTAAAGTTAAAGGCTACTTCAAGTTTCACATAAAGACTTATTACATAATGAAACAATAACATTGTCAATTTTTTATTATTTTCAGAAAAAAAGTGATATGGAGTTATGTAGAAAAGAAGAAAAAAGAGTTACTTTGTTAAATTATTTGCCGCGATTTCAGGCGTGTCATTCGATTCCTCTCTATGTTCTAAATATGAGCAATCGTTAATAAATTAACATCATATAGATAATTAAATTGTGAAAAATCTTTCATGTAATAATTGAACTTTCAATATCATTTTTTAAATGATAGATTGATTAAAAAAATCTCGTCACATATACAAGAATTAATCTCTTTTTCGTGAATTTTTTGGATTTTATTAATACCACTTCATTTCTCACTATTTTTAAGATGTAAGTAATGATTCATTCAATATTTCAAGTAATGGAAAAAAAATGCTTGTATTGATTCTCAAAGTTGAATTAAGTACTTGAGTACAGTACCGACACAACAAAGCGAGTAGATAAAGATATCTGATTAGGAATTCGAAAATACAGTTAAACTCTTATTCAATATTTAATTATCGAATCATAATGCTAAGCAACTTTTTCAATTAGTAGACTGTTTATTAGCTAGTGAATCAGAATGTAAAATCGTTACCAAGTGATAAACATTAACAAGAAAGTCATTAGAATTATTACATTACAATTTTTTCTTGTGAAAGTTTTATCCCACACTCCAATCATAATGTTTTATATGTATTCTTCAGTAGTTCACTATTTCAATTTTGCCATTATTGTTTGCATTCGTTATGAACAACTAAAAACAAGATCTACAATAAATCAGCGTTTTTCCAACAGAACATTCCTTTTTTCACTAAAAAAAAATTACTTACCATGTTACATGAATGGAAAAAGACTCAGTTTGTTCTTAATATTCGTATACGGAGAAAAATGAGGAGTAGGGGAATACGGAGCAAGACGGATCTATGGGTAAAGACGGCTTTTTGAATTTTTAAATAACTTATACACATAATAATTGAATTGGAGCGATAAGCATATTGTCAAATCAAAAAGTATCACATCTGATTGTAATTTTTACGTTACATTTTGTAAAATTTTTAATAGTCTAAAAATAATTTTTTATGTTAAAAAATTGCATTAATAAAACGGTGAAAATAGAAATAACATAAAAACGAAATATTATCCAATGTATTTAATTAATTTTAATTTTATCAATTGTTATTAATTTTTCTTTATTTTAATTTTATTATTATATGTTTGATATATTATTGAAAGAAATTGAAATAAGGGATTTAGGATCAAAGTCATTTCCAAATATTTTATTTATTAATACCAGTTCTTAATTACATATTGTCTTCCACCATTTGTACCGACTTAATGCCTAACAATACAATTATGCAATGATTCTGCATTAATGACTGACCATTACTTTTCATCATTCATCATTTCAAAAGCATTAACAATCATATCATAATAAATTTCTTTAAATTTTTTGGTTATTACAAAAATATTTTTATTGAAAATAATCATGTAAACGATTTCATAAAATAGTGGGATATCTTCTAATGGCAACATTCATTATATATTTATTGCTTTTTTTTCATAAAAAATATAACGAAATTTACACAAACGTTGTTTTTTTGATCGATTGAAGACTGTTCACGATTTCGAGAAAATATAATCACATATTACTAATTAACAACACAGCATAAAATCTTTTTATCGAAATAAAGTTGAAAAATCATAGATTATATTGTAATACAAGACAAACCCACATGAACCAATATGCTTAGCGCTATGTAAGATTTAAAACTGATTAAACAAGATTCACGTGAACTATAATATTTAAGGTTAACCTCTCACCATCGTCATATTGATTCTATTTTGCACTGTAAAAAAAACGAAAGAACATTCCATCATTGTCAATTAAATTTGAAGTTTAGATTTGAGAAAATAATAATATTAGCAACTAAAATCAGTGAATCAACTTAATTTGTTCGATGAATAACTATAATCTAAAGCCAAACAAGGAGAAAGAAACTCATGCAAAGACTTGTTACCTTGTCAATAGTACCACTTAAATCACTCAATACAATAAAATCAATAATTGATGACCGTTATATTTTAATCGCTAAACGATGTTAATGGAATTTATAGTTAATTTAAAACTTATTTTCAAGATGACTGTGATATTTTAGCTGCGTAGTATAAATATATGTAAGAAATGATGATTACGTAAAATGCCGGTACTCGAAGGTACACGTGATCTTCGGGAAATGATCTCTCCCACCCGTATCAGCGTTGTGCGCATGTTTGTGCTGGACTCACGCATGCGCATAAATTAAAATTTAAAATGTGGGTAATTTTTACTACCGCTTAGTGGTAAATATTACTATAACAAATAGAACTTTTTACGCTTACGTTATAGTTATATTTACAATTTAAATTGTTACTTTTTGCCCTGAACTGAACTATGGAACGCGATTACCCACCTGGATGTAGTAATTTTTACGTAAAATATTTTTTCCGTGTACTGAAGTGCCTGTTCAATACATAGATGACTATTCTTAGGAATAAAAGCTACTACTTTTCCGGAGTAACAATAATATTAATCGGGGAGATGAAGCATACTAGAGTATAGAATAATTTTTACCTCTTAAAAAGTAGTATCAATTCCAAATTAATTATTTAATTATAATACATATATATATAGCATTAACTCCGTAGATAAAATGTATAGGGTTGAGCGGGTCTTTCGATGGATAGACAGAAAAAATAGTAATGGCTATAAACTAGTTAATAAAAATAATTCGAATGATTAACAAGTTATTTTATATGTGTTAAATATCAATTTTACGTGCACTTAGTTTGAAGATAACGGAAAACGCTGATTCAGACCTGAGATGATTTTTTTTAAATTAAAACTATTGACGTATTTTTGAATAAATTCTCCACAACTTGTCTCAATTGCTTAACCCGCCGAAAAGTGGAATTGGTCGTGGTTACTTCAAAAATTGGCACTTATGTAAAAAGCTGGAATTGAGTAGTCCCGAGTGAGGCAGAACCACGAAAAATAATTATCCTGAATAGGTATAGAATAGAAATTCAAAATTCTTAAGGATGGGCTGGACAAAAAAAAATCCGAAGCTTACTTTGCGTCCTCCCTTTGTGCGTTGAAAGACGAAAGCTCAACGTCCTAAATCTTAATTTTCAGGGATGCCTTTGAAAAAGGGAGCCTCAGGGCACCAAAAATTCTTTAATCATCTGTTCCGAGAACGACAAAGCACGAAGTTCATTCAGCTATCTCCGTTATATTCACATATCAAAGAGAAACTGCAAGTTTGGGTAGCCCGCAAGCAAGCTCAATCCCTACTCCTCGTACCCAAGCGAGAAGCTGATGATTAATAAATGTAAACATCTCAAATGTTTATAATTTAGCTCTGTAATCAGAGCATTAGATTTTCAATTTGCCGAGCAGGGTTCAAACCTAATTACGGCAACGTTTGTTTTTCTCTTTATTTTTGTTCTTTTATGTGATTTTTTTTTCTTTTACTGGAGTTATTAAATATGTTACATGGATGAAAATCAACTCTGTTTGTAACGACTGAATTTTTTATAAATAATTAAAAACGGAATCTATGCTATTAATTTGAATTCTTTTCACGTGATTTTTTTTCTTTTACTAAAAAAAAGTTACTAACTACGTTACATGGATGGAAATTGACTCAATGAAATGAAATCAATTCGAATGTTTTCAACGGGATTTTTTTCTTTTTTTAACTGATAAAAAGTTGTTACTCATGTTAAATAACGTATTTGGACATGTTATTATTTACGATTGTAATCGCTCTAAATGAGCATCTATCAAATCTTACATTAAAATTCGATTTTTTACTGTTTCCATTTATACACACAAATTTATTACTTTTCCTTCTATGTTATCACAAAGTATTACGTATCTAGAACTTGGAACAAAACTTCACTCAATCAATCGATTCTTATGATAAAAACAATGTTATGGTTTTGCGATTATGGCAAGTCAAACTTAACGCAATTTTATGATTTCAAACATTCTTTGCATGGAGAACAATTTGAAAATATCGGATTTTCAAACAACAGTGACGTGGCGCCGTTTTTTTACAGATATCCAGCGGATTGATAATAACTTAAAATTGAATAAGCCGCTATAATACTTAACATTTAATATTATCTATTAAAGCTCTTAGACCATTCACACAACCAAAAACTTAAGCCGTATGACCTACAATTTCAAACGTACGCATGTGCACAAACTAATTTTTGACTTATTATGATGTTAGTGCGCACGCGTACGTCTTA